CACATCCATTTTCTTCGTGAGAAGAACGAAAGTTTCCCCGACATTTTCATCGAATAGCGGATACACGGATTATCTTTGAACGATGGAGCGAGACCAAAGCAATTTCCAGGTTTTTACTGTAGATATCTCAGAGAGAGAGAGAAGTGTCTATGTTTGAATATGAAAATAGAAAGCATGACAGTTTTAGAATAACTTTCTATTGATTTTTTTGGCGTGATTCGAAAAGGATATTAATCATCCCGCACCTTAAAAAGTCCTTGCTGTGTTTCACGTATATCTTTCGAGCCCATCTGATAATTTCCCTATAATACCTTTTGCATGCAGTATTATCATGTCTTGATGATTGCGAAATGAGAGTGGGGTATTTTCATTTTATGTTTTCGTGAAACGCAGAAAAATAGTTGCACCACTTCCTTGGTATCCTAAATAATTCTGAAGATATTATAGCGCAGGTCAAATGGACTCCACCATAATCGATTGCGGAACGGATTCGTCATGGAGTAAAAAAAAAAACGTAAACAAAAATTGGGAGCTTATGTCCATAATGGACGTGGAAAGGTTCTGCAATTTAAAAAAAATTTGAGAAAGAACTGGTAGCTTCTGTCTATAATGGAAGTGGAAAGGTTCTGCAATTTTTATTTTTATTTTTTTACCACGACGAAGAATTTGTTGCATACACGTTTGCCGGAGAAATGTGATTGCCAAAGGTTCCGTGGAAATTGTTTTGAGAAGTACCCAGTGGTCGACTGACCTGTTTCCGAAAGATCAAAAATTGCACTCTCTCCGCCTTTTCGTGTCAATGAAACATGTCAAGAGACGTGACAGGAAATCCCGCATTAGGAAGGTTTCGTGCACGAAATGAGGGACATTTTAGCCCTTCTCTCTCGGGATTGAAGCTATTTTTTTTACGATGATGCTAAATTGGGTTGCTCAAAAAGTTGAGCATGTTCCCAAGGAATTTTTGCGACTACTGAAAGCTGCGGGCCAATTTTCCCTCGATGTTCTGTTGAATTAAAAAAAAAATGCATGATGACGTTGAGTAACGAGGTGAAATGACTTCACGAGACTTTTTGTATGTTACTGAATTTAAAAAATAACTTCACCAGAAATTGAGATGCATTTGTTTTGCTTACATGATACTGATCCAATTTTCAATTTCTTCTTTCCTGAGACATCGCTGGAAGTGCTGCTTGGATTTTTGGCTATTTTCTACCTCGACTGCACTCACAGAAAGCATAGTTTCAGCATGAGTTTACAGTATTTTCTTAGGCATCGTCAGGCAAATATAAAGAGTGGTGATTTCCATCAGGAAATCTTTTAGGAATTCAGCAACACTATTTGAGGCTTTTTAATTTAGCAAATTTTATTTGCATGGCATTATGGCGGATATTCATTCCCGAAATCCTCAGGAAAATATCGTGCGAGTCCTCTCCCACTCCGGGAAGTTCTTCATTGTGCCACACGCAAATTTTTTGTTTCAACTCTAGGCCACTATTTATCTGCATTCGTATTCGAAAACACCAGAGCGGCCTTTAATCAGACATACTCGTATATGTATGAGCCGCATTGACCTCGAGGGTGCCACTCGAATTTTAAAAAAATGAAAATGTCTCGGACTTCGCCCTTCTTTATACGTGCTAACAAAGAACATGCAATTTATTTAAGTTTTTAAGGAATGAAAAAATCAAGATTTCTTCAGTTGGCAACGTCCAGACTGTTTGTCGGAACTTATATTTGTGTTGTGTGGAAGCATTTGTGTGTGAGTTGCAAAGTTCTCTGAGTTGAATAATGTTGTATTATTGGGATATGAATAAATCTCAATTTTTTGGAGCCTCTATAAAGAGGCTCCCAGCCAGTCCCTAGCTGATTGTTGTATTTTACTTTATAAATTATAATCACTTTTCTTTGCTAGGAATATGTAATCCCTAACAGCATGGTAGAGTAAGGTGTAGCCTGATGGGTATTTTTTGAGTTGTGTATTTCTAAAATATTCCCTGCAATATAAAACATGATGATGCCTAGGTGTGGCTGAGCACCCACTAACTAGTATTTTCATGGATTAAAGATAAATTGTTGAAAATTGATTTTTAATTTGACTGCTTATGCTGCAATTCCTGTTACTGATATTTTGTTTTCAATGTCAGGGAAAGACAGGGGGTGTACACATGCATGTCAGTTGTACATTGTGGAATGTATTCTCTTTTATTTTGGTATCCTAGCATATACAGCTTTTTTCTTTGTTTCCCTTTCTGAAGTGATTGAATGCAGTTGAATGGATTATTTGGGTTGAGTGGGGAGGGGGCTTGGATGTGGGAATCTTGATTGAACCTTGTGAATGCTGAAAAGTGGAAAATAAAGCTTTCTGTTTATGTTCTGTTCTGTTATTGAGGCAAAATGTCTTCAATATGAGTTAGTGTTCAGTATTTGATTGATGAACAATAAAACAAGTTGATCAGTCAGGGACAGGACCGGGATTCTGTTTTGGAATTCCTGGTTTAAGGGATAAAGTGTATTTCACACGAATATAATGAATAACAACTCAACAAGCTTGAGCTTGTATAGGAGTAATGTGAATAACCTTGGAATAACTCAGATAAAACTGAACTGATGATCTAACTTAGAAAAGGATGCAGCTTATATACTATCAATAACATTTAACCTTCAACAGGTTTTACTTTACAATCAAAATAGAAGAAGTTATTGTCAAAGATGCTGCAGTGCCAGGATGTTGCGATTTTAAGGAGGGGGGAACATTACTGCTTCTGAGAACTAGGTACGCTATTTTACCTGGCGTGCATGCCCAACATCTGTAATTTGATGGTAGGTAATAATGATTGCCACATGCAGGGAATCGCGAGACTTTAAAAAAACCCCCTCTCTCCTGATTTAAGAAATGAAAAAGAAAAGAAAAAAATTCTGCGTATATGTACACTGTATATCTCAGCACACCCGACCTCGTCTTGTCGTCCATTTCCTGGATCTCTGGGGGCCAAAGGTGATCAGAGCAGATTGAAGGTTTCCGGAAACGCGGGGCGAAAGTCCAGCCTCGGAAGAACCGTTTTCACTCACGAACCCCCTATAGTAGTGACCTGGCTGCTTGCTGCTGGACGGGTGTCATTAAGTCGTCCAGTGTGTATAACGATGTGCGACCCGCCAGGGCTTTGACACGACCGCGAAATGTGTATTAATCTCCCTTATTCCGTGTGGCCCCCTTTCGCTTTTTGCAGTGAATCCGAGTCGTATTACGACGACGGCGCGCTGAGCATATTGTAGAATGAGATTGAAAATGAGCGGACGAGGGGGTCACTGCTGATCCGTGAAAGTTGCTTCCGGTTGGATTGACGGGAGGCAGGGAACTGATATCATTTTTTATTAGCACGAGGCGGCGAAAACGCACGCGTTTTATCTATTTTTTTATTTTATTTTTTGGCTGTGCCGAGATTTCGAGAGTATTATATAGAGCCTTTTTGGAACCGTTTGGTATGCATCAGTGCTGGAGATGAGGAAGAAATTCGCTACTACTGTCGAGTTGAAGTATCTCTCTTTTTTAATTATTGCGTGCGAAAGAAACAGAACTAAAAATTTTATGTTGCTGAGAAGCCAGTCACATCGAATGAGCCTCTGAAAAAATAATACGTGAGGCTTTTTTTTTTTTTAGCTCATGTCTCGATCCTCCTCCTCCTTTCACTTCGATCACTTTTGGCACTGCGGTGAATCTATTGCATTTAGAAATTTTAAAGCAGTGTTGCCCAACCTTTTTGCTCGAGCCCGCGGACCAGCAAATTTTCATTAACATTTTTGCGGACCGGGAAATTCCCAAAACATTTTCTGCAGACCGGGGAGTTTCATAAAATGTTTGTAGGATCAGAAAAGTGTTGCTTGAAAGAATTTATGGAAGATATTTGAAAGTTTCTGCTTTTTTCGAAAAAATTAAGTTAAAAACCAATGAAGCAGCTATAGCTGTATGTCACAAAAAAAAAATCGGAAGGTGGGCTTGAAATAAGGTTTCTCAGAATGAATAATAAAAATAATTAATTTATTAGTGTTATCAGGAGAAAAACCATTTATTTAGCAGATAATTTCAACTGCCATTGTCTTTCCAAAATTTTAGAAAAAGACAAAAGACTTCATAGCTACTTTTCATAAATTTATTATGATGAAGAAAATTTCCCGTTCTTCAAAATGTGTTGTTCGTTAAAATTTCCCACGGGTTGGGGAACACTATTTTAAAGAACCACAGTTCTGGTGATATTTGAATGACCATGTTGGAAATCGAACTCCTATCCTGTGAAATCACCCGGTTAATTTACATGTGATAATGCTTTATTGTTATGATTTAATTTATCTTCTGATGATGATTGCATGTGTATTCAAGCTACATGCAGTTGATGAATCTTGAAGGGTAGAATTTAAGGCGAATTTTCAAAATACTGTGTAGGGAAAATTAAGTTCCCGAAAAATTTCCTGGAGGGGAGGTGCTGTTCATGTGTAAAGATGGTTTATTGATCAATGTAATTAACGCAGTTTTTATTTTTTCAAATGTTGACAAATGTTTGGGTAATTTATCGAATATATAAAGACGGCGAAAATAGTAGTTTTTTATGCTGACAAGAACGTTTCGACATTTGGACATGTACATATCCATCAGGAAGAATTTAATAAGTCTTTAAAATAACAAAAATATATGTGTGGACAACTAGTTTGCAATTCTTGAGAAAATACTCGAATGAGTGCGAAAAAATCTTGTTCATTTATGCGATACTCGAAAAGAGGACTTTCCATCGAGTGAAGTCCTCTTTTTTCTTGAAATGCTTTAAACGCATAACTTCAATTCACAGAATATTTCTCTGCATTCGGAAAGATGAACATGACTCGAATATATGCGCATACAGTATCTTGATTCTGGCGGAAAATTCTGCAGAAACATATACCCAAGTTAATCACTGCCTATTGGTCGCGTTGGATTTGAATTTTCAAAATGCGGTAGCCATTGCGGGAAGATACCCTTTCTTTGTGTTGGAATAACTTAATCTCTGGTTTCAAGACCGAATTCTGTTTGGTTTGATTTTTTTTGCCGTACCGCGCTTTCACTTGTCGTAAACATTCATGTTTTTTTTATTTCTCCTATTTTGCAGAATTCTTGTCGATCTTCACTGACGCTTGGCGCGGCCGGTTCAGTAAAGATGATCCTTCGACAGCAGACATGTCGTCGCAGTTGGGTGACGAGTTCCCTGACGAAGACGGATCAGTGCGATCGCCGGCGATGTGGCAGTCGCGTGGATCCGACGATTCTCAGGTAAAACATCCGAAATTTCTTGATCCAAGGAAGGGTTCTTTGGGTAGAATTTCCGAGAAATACGACCGAAGCAAGAGGTAAACAGACATTGCTGAAGCATTTCTGTTTTAATTCAATAATACTGGCGTAATTCATAAAAAAAATAGCGAATTATATAATCCAGGAAGTTCTGTTTATTTTCTCGTTCGGTCGAACCATAATAGTATTGCACTGTATTTTTAAAGTGGAGAATCAGTCCCTTTATTTAAGTTTTTTCTCCCTACAGGGGGACACTGATCGTTTATTTTCCCCATGGTTCAAAAGTGATTTCCCGTTGTTGGGATTACAGTTTGATCTTTAATTTCTGATGAGAGAACGGTTTATGATTATTAAATATTATCTACTGGTTACACTGGTGGTCAATTTTGAGTTTTTACTGTATAGTATACGGTTTAGTGAAAAATCCATTGTTTTTGTATTTTAATTATCACCAAACCTTCAGATAGGGTTATTCAAATACTTCTTAAATTAAATTTTAGCGTAAATAACGTGCTCGATTATCCCTCAAAAAGTATTTTCTATGTTACTGTATTTTCAAAGTTGAGGAAATTATAAAATGTCGGATATTTACAATCGGAACTAGAATGACATCGTCTAGAAAAGATTCTTTTGTTTGCATGATGATAGAAAGTACACTTCTCCAATAATGGCATTATTATTATTTTTACCTTGATGAACAAAATCTTCAGAAAAGATTACGTATAAAGCAGTTGTAAAGCTTGCGTGGTCATTTGACAAAAAAACATGCAATTACAGTGCTTATACAGTATCACCAATTCAGATGAAAGCTAGAAATGTGTTTAAAAACTAATTGTCACAGAGACTTATTTGGTCTCATTTCCATCTTCTCTCATTTTTAGGACCTCGGCTGAAAGCCCTCCATTTTCACCTGGATGACGATTTTGCTTTTTTAGATAAAAATAACAAAATACTGCAGTAAAAAAATGACCACAAAGAGTTTTATGATCAATCAGAATTTCACATTGCTGTTATATACTGTATGCTGGAAAAAAGGCTACCGAGAAACCGTTTCATGCTCATCAAAGATGAAACCGCGAGTGACATCTACCCGGTTTAGAGGTCGTCACTGTCGAAAAGACGAGCGCATCGTAGCATGAAAGGAAGTTTTTTGAACGTTCTGGAAATTTAGAGAAGTTTTATTCTACGGAAAATTATGAAATTTAATTTCAATGTCAATCAGTGAAACCTCGTTTGGACGGGTTTTCAACGGAGGATCTTTGAAAGTCTCAATTTTTTGCCTGCTCGTGGATCTTCTGCGTACAGTACTCTATAAGAATCCTTGGAATTCGCAAACTAAGAAGTCGAGTACCGGAGTACAGTACTGGAATCTTTATTTTGCAAAAAGAAGGAATTCCGGACCCACGCATGGGGCACAAAAGCACGTTATTTTTGCGGGAGCATAATAAGTATACTCTTTGTTTTGCGGTTGTCGTGCTCATTCAGTCAATCCAAAAACATACCGTACCGTGGGGTCAGAGGTTTCGAGTCATTTTGTTCAGTTTAGTCAACTGTCGATGACAGAAGCCTGCAGTGCTGCAGATTCAGTACTATACAGTACTCTCCTTTTTCTATGGTTGTGCAACACGTGGCGATCACCCCAAGAAGTACTCGACTGAGCCGAAATGTTTTTTCATTTACCCAATTTTTCGTCTGCAAAGAAGTGTATTGCTGCCGGAGATTCGCTTTGCATTATTGAAAAATGAAGTCGAGGAGAAAGTGATTTTTAAAATATAAATGAAGAGGAAAATGACCCAACTTTAAGCTTGCTGAATCCCTTTCAGGAAATCTTCAACTGATGTAAAAAATAGATAAATAAATAAATAATAATAATAATATAACATAATAAGAAAATACTAAATAAATATTATACATATATATATATATATATATATATTATATAATTATTATTATATAATATATATTATAATATATATTATTATATATAATAATTATTTATTTATTATTATTATTATTATTTTGGTGGCCTAATTGCCGAAGGATTAAATGTAGCTGGAATCTTGTGTAGCAAATTACTCAAAACTTCTTCCCACTTTTTCTATGATTTTTAATTCACATTTTATTTGGAACAGTGTTAGCTTTAATGAACACCTCTATTTCCTTCTTTGTATTGTGAATTTCTCGCAAGAGACTTGAACAATACAGCCTTTGCTGTCCGCCTTTTTCTTCGGTTTCCCGCATTTAAAATTTTTTAATTTAAAAATGCTTTCTTGAAGGTCCATCATTGTTTCAAACTGGATGTGACTCGAAATTAAAGTATACATGTATAGTGTACTTGACGTTGAAATTCTAGCATTTGATAAGTACAGTGAAATATCGTTACAACGAAGACATTGGTACCAGTAAGTTAGCTTCGTTGCGACAAACATTTTGCCATGGGGTAACTCACTAAAATTTTTGGCTATCAGGCAGGGACCTGAGAAACAACTTATTCGTTGTAATCGATCATGCGTTACAACGAATAGAATTATACAATATTGTCGTGGTCTCATTTTCATTACAAGTGAACCTTGATTACTGGAACCTCTCTAAGTCAAAAACCCCCCTAGGTCAAATTTTTCTTAGGTCCCTACTGAATCCCCTTAGAAACACAACATTAAACACCTCCCTATAAGTCAAAGGCTTTTACCCTCAAATCTGCATAAGTTGAAATTTCTGTAGCATGTTGGCCATTATTTTCTTGACCCAAGAAAGAAAAAAGCAATGAAAAACAGTAATTGATGTGTTTCAAAGGAAGTGAAAGACTTAATTGGGCAAATGAACCCCTGCATGCCTCCAAGTTCAGCATCATTGTAACTCATCCAAGAACCCACAGAATATTCCCATTTACAATTTTGGGCAATTGTTCCAAGTTTCCCGGTACAAAAAGGCTTTGCATTTTGTAGTTAAAACCTCTATAATTCAAAAGCCCCCCTAAGTCAAAGGCTATCACCCTCAAACCTCTCTAAGTCAAATTTTCTGTGACCTGTTGGCTATTATTTTCTTTACACAAGAAAGAAAAAATAACAAATAAAAACAGAAATTGATGCATTTCAAAAGGAAGTGAAAGACTTAATTGGGGAAATGAACCCCTGTCTACAAGTTCAGCATCCTTTCAACTCATTTAAGAAGCAATTGAAGCCCCAGAATACCATCATTTACAATTTTTGACAATTTTTCTATGCTTCCCAGAACAAAATAGCTTTGTAATTTAGCTCAAACCTCTATAATTTAGAACCTCCCTGAGTCGAATTTTTTTGCTGGTCCCTTAAAGTTTGACTTCAAGAGGTTTAATTTTAATGAAACTGATTTCACGTTGTTTTGATATTACTGTTTGATCTTTAATTTCTGACAAGAGAATGGGATTAGGCTTATTAAATAGTATGTACTGGTTAAATTGGTGGTCAATTTTGAGAAGCCCCTAAGTTTAATTTTTTTTGCTGGTCCCTTGAAATTCAACTTAGAGAGGTTATTGACTGTATATGTGATTATACAGTGGGACCCCAAGATGCGTAGTGAGACCCCAAATATCTGTTTCTTGTAATTAGGCCTGAAATGTATTTGCAATTTTATCACAAAATGTCCCTATGTTGAGCCAGTGTTCTCATGTCAGGCCGTATTTTTTTATTTTTTCTGCGGGAAAAGTGTCCCTATGTCGAATCGTCCGCAGGTCGAGGCGTCCGCATGTAGGGGTCTCACTGTACTATACTATGCTGTACTGTACGCACAGTATTTCTGCGATAATAATTTTTAAAAAAATTCATTTTTCGTGTGGGGAATCCGCGTATCATCTGCAGGTGTGCGTGATCGACGGGACCGAGTTCGCCTGCAAGTTCTCCCTGTTCTGCTGGATGACGGGCGGCGAGGCGGCAGGCCCCTGCACCGGCGGCGCCCTCAGCACGTGCTGCGTGCCCAGGGACTTCAACGCCCGCACGGTGGTCGTGTCAAGGTCGAGGCGCAAGTACGAGTTCGTCCACACGCCGCCAAGGCTGGTCGAGGCGCCCGTCAGGAACGACCCTGGTGAGGCCGCCGCCCGACGGATGATTCAGAAATGCCTCTACTGTATATATACAAGGGGGGGTACCTCGCAATTTGAGCCTAATCCGTTGCCAAACTAGGGTCGAATGGCAAAACGTTCAAATTGCGAGGCACTTCATTAATTAAAAAAATATCAGTGCAAAAAAATAAATAAATAAAATTGGCCAAAGCAGGTCAAGAGTTGCAGGGTAAGGGTCAGATTGCAAGTCAACCTGCCTGCAAATTTGACAGTCAAATATTGCAGGATGGTTGGATTGTGGGAGGTCAAATTGGAAGGTACCACCTGTACTCTACAGGTGGTACCTTGCAATTGAACCCTAATCCATTGCCAAACTAGGGTCACATTGCAAGGCACTTCATTAATTAAAAAAAATATCAGTACAACAAATTAAAAATAAATTTGCCAAAGCAGGTCAAGAGTTGCTGTGAGAAAAAGATATGTCGAACAGACAAACTCACAAAGTTGAAAACTGCGATACAGAATGGATGGAAAGTTAGAAAAAGAAGTAATTGAATTGAGGATAAGAATTGAAGTTTCTTTTCGCGAGAGCGAAGTGTTAGATGTATAAATATGAGTTGAGTAAATCGGCTGGGACAAGGTCCGAGTTTGAACGAGTTGTATTTCGTTTGAGAATGAACACTTGGTCTTTGCAGGATGGTTGGATTGTGGGAGGTCAAATTGGAAGGTACCACCTGTACTCTACAGGTGGTACCTTGCAATTGAACCCTAATCCATTGCCAAACTAGGGTCACATTGCAAGGCACTTCATTAATTTAAAAAAATATCAGTACAACAAATTAAAAATAAATTTGCCAAAGCAGGTCAAGAGTTGCGGGGCAAGGGTCAAATTGCAAGTCAACCTCCAAGCAAATTTGACCATTCAATTACGGGATGGTCAAATTGCATGGTACTACATGTACTGTACAGGTAGTACCTTGCAATTCAAACCTAATCCATTGCCAAACTAGGGTAAAATTGCAAAGCAGTCAAATTGAGAGACACTTGATTAATTAAAAAATATCAATTAAAAAAATATCGGTAAAAAAAATTGGCCAAAGCAGGCCGAAAGTTGAGGGGCAACAGTCAAATTGCTAGTCAACCTCCCTGCAAATTCAACCATCAAATTGCAGAATGGTTGAATTGCAAGATACCACCTGTACTGTACAGGTGGTACCTTGCAATTTGATGCTAATCCATTGCCAAACTAGGGTCAAAATGAGAAATTTTTGAATTGCAAGACACTCTATAAAATCAAGGACAAAAAGCAAAAAAAAAAAACACTAGAAAAGAGGCTAAAACAGGTCAAATTTTGGGACAGAGGTCAAGTTGTGAGTTGACCTCCAAGCAAATTCAACTGTCAAATTTTGGGACAGACAAAGTGTGAGGTATCACCTGTATTTTATTGTATTGTGCTGTGCTGTACTCTACAGTAGTACAGCACAACAACAATGCTCCACACAACAAGGAATACCTCATCAAAAGGCGTATTTTTATGTCTCCACTCCTAAGATTATCCTGCTTGACCACATTTTCTTCAGCAACTTCCCCTCTCGATTTTTATAAGCACAGCATTTTTTTGTACCAACTATGCTTCGAAGTATGGGTCCAGTATCCGGGGTATCACTTGGTGCCTCACATAAAGGATTTTTTTTAAACTGATGCAGGCTTATTGCGCCGATTTTCGTATTATTCATATATGATTTGGCGTTGCTGACGTGATGGGTACAGTACTGTACTTCTGTACCCTCGTCGTCAGCAACGATACATAATTTTCGAGTGAAAACGATGTTCGGCGTACGCCAGAGTCAGTAATCTTCGACCTGCTGAGCAAGTGTGGAAAGAAAAAAAAATAGCTGGGAACAAGAATTTTTAAAACTCTTTCCTTATATCAGCGGTGAAAACTATCCAACGTACGCGGCGGGACTCACAAGTCCAGAGAAAGAAGAGAGAAAATAACACACCCACATGCACAACTAACAGAGAACCGGTTTCTTTTTGTTTGATGAAAAACAAAACCTGTTTCGTGTTCACTGCCATAGTTTGCGGACGACCGAGACTGACGCTGCAGAAGCGGATTATCGGCGGGTCCGAGGCGAATTTCGGCGAGCTTCCGTGGCAAGTCCACATCCGGATTTCTGGCTACCAGTGCGGAGGAGTCTTGCTCAACCATTTCTTCGTCGCCACTGCTGCTCACTGCGTGCACAAGTGCGTATTCCCCGATTTCGATTGTGTTCTATCACATACTCTAGTCTACTGTACCGTGCATACCAGTGTTCCCCGACCTTTTTCGGACCCGCGGATTTTCATGAACATTTTCTGTGGACCGGCAAAGTTTAATGAAATAATTTGCGGATGCTAAGAAGTTTTGTTTGAAAGGCCGTATGGCAGATATTTAAATAGTTTATGCAGTTTATTTTTGCACAAATTAGGTTGAGAATCAATGAAGGAGCCATAGTGGAATGTGTTCAAAACATTGGAAAGGCTGGCTCGAAAAAAGGTTTCCCAGAATGAAAATTTTAATACAATCAATTTCAGCAGGTGAAAAGTCAGCCGAAGGTTATTGAAAACAATTTCAACATTTTCGTAAGATAATTTAAACTGTCCTCGTCTTTACGAAAATGCAGACATAGACAACAAACTTGATTGCTAATTTTGATAAATTTATTAAGCGGAAGAAAATTTCCCGCAGGTCCGCAGACCACGGGTTGAGGAACATTGCGGTATACGATAGCTTTCAAGTTAAAATTCCGATTTCAGTCGTCTTTGAATATACGGTCCCTAGCTGTCAATTTGGAAAGAAAGAAAAAAATGTTCCTTGATTGAATTGCCAGAAATGTGTTTCACTTATCCGAGCGCAAATTATTTTTCCATGAATCGTGTTTCTTGTCTGCGATTTTTTTTTCAAAGTGGAGGAATGTTTCGTGGTTTGTTCTTCAAGCACTAAACCGTTGACTTCGAACATTTTATGGTTTTGCTTTTTTCAGACGTATACTCGTCATTCGAAGTGTGTTTTTTTTCGAATAGTAATTGCGTAACTGTTCAACGAATGTAAGGTATTCAAAAATGCCCTGTTCTGTTATTTGACTCGTCATTTCGACGCATAAATTTAGCGTCACGCTGTTCCGGTCAAAATGACCGTATACTCGTTTCGGTTGACTTCTCTGAAGTGCTCGTGTATAGATTCCATTCCGTTTAACTTAGTGAAACTTTGTGTCTGTTTTTTGTTGTTGCTGTTTTTGTGGACGATTGTTTGCTCTCTGTAATCGTGGATGGATGACCTGGGTGACCGCAAACAAAAAAAAGGGCGCACATCCCGCTGATTCAAGTGCACATCGGCGACCACGACACCAAGAACACGGGCGCCTTTTTCGAGCCGATGCCATCTGACACATTCGCGGTGGACGAGATCATCATCCACCCTTTCTTCAAATTCATGTCCGTTCAACCCGACAGGTGAGACATTTTTACGAAGATTCAATAGTGTTTTATACGAAGGCTGAAAGTGGAAATAATGACTATTGAATTGCCAAATGAAAGTCTTGTCTGTGAGCGGAAATAAACGGTCTGGGATTTCGGGTTTCACGGAAAGCAGGTGCAATAATCTTTTTTTAAATAGGCTTTTAATCAACTTGACTTGGGCTATGTATGTAAGTATGTATATGTTTGAGTAACTGTAAGGGGTATCCAGATTTAGCAAAGTTTGCAACTGAAATGTAACCCACTTTCAAATATCCAATCTAGCTGCAATATTGCACACTTGTCAACAATTGATGACAATGCAATGTTTCAAAACTTCAGAGTTTTTGGATGATCAGATTTTCATCAAGGCTAAAAACTTCGCTGATGAAATAATTGCCACCTTTGCTCAACTGAACTCGGCAAATTGGCGAGTGAAAAATTCCATCGGAAGATATAAAATTAAATTAGCACGATTTAATAAATATATGTGTAATTTTTTAAATGTAGCAGGAAAGAATGTATGTTATGTATGTGTCATCGCTTCTCGGAAAACAATCTGCCATCGTCATTTTCCGACGAGTTTTACTCTACTAGGTTTTATGGATTTCTACTGTGATTTTTGGGGCTTTCGAAATTGTTGGTGATAGATGTCGCTCCTTTTCTTGACGGGAGTGTTCGTAATTTTTCGTCGTGACGATGACGACTTTTTTTATCCGTCATTGGAAGCACCGTCCAACATAAATACTAAACCTGTCGAAACCATGGATGAAAATTTTCGGTCTGACTTTTGAAATATATTTTTTAAACTAATGGGGTGAACCTAGAAAAAAAGGGTGATTTACGAAGAGTTTTCTTCCCTAAGAGTTTGTTCTTGTGTCGCTTTTAAAAGAAGAAATGCATTTGGCATGACGCATGATCACTCTCTTTATTCGAAAAGAAAACTGGGGTTTCTCTTTCAGATTTAAGACGACCATTCGAGTTCTGTTTCAATTTTTAACTGGATTTTACTTTAAAAAGTGTGTCTAACCATACAGTTATTTAAAAATGTTGGTGTTTCCGTGCATTTCGGCTTGACCTACTTGTATTTGTTTTCGGAAGGCCTTGACGTAATCGAAGGTCGTGATGTTCCTCAACCGGACCATCGTATCTCTTAGCTTAGATTTTCACGAGGATTTTATTTATTTATTTTTTATTGGGAGTGCATCTTTGATCAGTTCCGGGAGGTTAATTGGAAGCCGATTCGTGTTTACCAGAGCACGTGTGTGGAAGTAGGAGAGGGTCGTATAGTATGGACATGTTTTCGTCCGAATCTTCTGGCCCTATTTATTTCGTTTCCTTCACGTTTGATTTATTTTTTCTTTCTGTTTTTCATTTCGCGGTCGTTGATGCGACGCCACGAGGACCTGGATTCCCTCCGGATGTGGGACGGAAGTGAAACTGAAAGTACGCCGATATATCGTTGATCGGAATAAGGGAACCGAGAAAAAGAAACGGGCCTTTTCTTTATTTTTTTTTACCTTTTCAAATTTGTGTTCTGGACAGGTTACTTATGATGGATCAGGTGACAAACTCGGGCACCTCCTGTCGAGCTCACCTGTCCACCCTTTTCCTTACTTATTCATGTCGACGCTGACGTTGACATCCTCATCCGGGTGACGAGGACAGAAGAATCAGTCTCTCTCTCTCTCTCTCTTTTGCCAAGTGCAACCGGAAAATGACGCATTGTTTATTTGTTTTTCCGAAAATCATTGGGGATGATGGTAAAGACGTGTAATTGTATACAATTGAACCTCTCTAAGTAAAATTTCTAGAGACCAGGAAAAAATTCAACTTAAGGAGGTTTTGATTTTTTGAGATTTTGAGTGAAGGAAAAAAAATTTTTGCTGTTAGGAAAAGTGAAAAATTGTGGGAAATTGTAGATGAGGATGTTCTGGAACTAAGCTTGCTTCTTAGTGAGCTTACAGCTTGCTGAACTTGGAGGCCAGGGTTCATTTATTCAATTAGTCTTTCACTTCATTTCAAGATGCATAAAATCATTTGTTTTATAGATTTTCTCTTTCATATTTCAAGGAAATATTGTAATAACCAAAAGGCCTCAGAAAATTTGGCTTACAGAGGTTTTAGAGAAAAATACTTTGAGTCTTGGATGTTTTTAATGCATTGTTTCTAAGGGGATCCATACAGGGATTTGAAAAAAAAAAAGAATTAGGGAGGTGTTTGACTTAGCAAGGTTTGACTTTGTGAGGTTCAGCTGTAAATTGCTGGATACCATAGAAACTATTCTTAAAATGGTTGTAAAATCATTTTGAAATTACCTTTCAAAATACAATTGGATCTAGCTAAGTTGAACCTCCCTGTGTCCAAGTGCTGTTCAGCGCCTTCCTAAATTCCTAAGACAAATGGAACTAACAATTTAATACTAGTACAGACCTCCTCAACTCAAAGACTTCACGCAGGTGAACCAATACAGATGGACTCTCTATAAAGCAAAATTCACAAGACCAGAAAAAATCCCTGCAGAGAACCACTATAACATGGAGAGAGACTCCTATGAGAAAAAAATTAATTCATTGCACAGAGAAAATCGTTGTAGAGAGAGTCCACTTGTATAAATCGAATTTTGACCAGCCTTTGTGCTTTTATTTGTGGGGTTCTGGTGCCAGAGAAGAGCACTAAAAATCAATCTGATGCTTTTCAAAAAAAATTGAGAGACTAATTGGGCAAATGTACTCTTGCTGACAAGTTGAGCATCCTGACAACTCATGTATCCAGCAATCCATGGCCAAGAATATCAAGAATTTTACCGTCCTACAATTATTTCTATTTTCATTTTACGAATTAGCGAAGTCGAAGTTTTTACGGGTCCCTCCAAGTTAAACAAAAAGAAGGCAGACTGCATTACTGACATTTTTTTCAACTCGCTTAATGCATTAGTTGAGGTCTTTTGATGAAAACTACCAGGTGCCGGCCCTTTTTAATGCCCATATGTAGCCAGAATTATTTTATATGTGAGACGTCTGCTTATAGAGGGATCCTGCATAAAAATGATTCCCGTTGAGCCTTGGGCTATAAAATGGTCAACTATTAAATCCATTCCAGACCCGTGCAAAATGTCTTGATAGATCTTTGAAACTTATTTTGTTCTCTGTCTTGGTCAGAATTTCAAGCCCTCAACTGTATGCATTTTAAAAGCTTAATTTTTCATCTCCAGTATCGTTTTTTTCTGGTTTTAAAAATAATTTTAAAAGTTTCAAAGTCGACAATTTCTGAAAATGGACTCATTTTTGGAAACGTTCATTTATCACTTCTTTTAACGAAAAAAAAAATGTAAAGCAAAATGTCTTGTGCTTTTTTCTCGTGAGATCGCCGTTTTGTATATTATAAGGCATCCATTATCCATGCTGCCAGTGACATCTGTCACTCCTCAGAGGAACCGATCAAGAGGGTGGGACACTCATGGGATTTGGGTCAGGTCGTTGACTTTTTCCTCCTCTCATAAAGTATACGGTATTCTAAATAACCGTGAACGTCTCGAACAGTGTTCTGTGCTGTGCTTTAGAAAACTGGGGTCCAACCAAAAAGATTACCAATTAGCACAATTGGTGGCATTTCATAAAAAAAAAAACAGTAGTACGAGTCCTATCCTAAAATAGCTTAAAATTTCACTGAATTGATGTGTAGTTTTGATTTGTAAAAAAAATTTGTATTCATTCGTGAAGGAGATGCATAATCAAATATTTTAGATTTTAAAATTATTCATTGGGTGAAATCTATAAAATTGCAATTTTTTTCCAACAGGAGGTAAAGTGACAATGTACAGTAAAGTACCCTATACAGCTTGATATACTTGGCATGCATATATCTAGTGGGGTGAAAAATGCGATCATTGCAGAAAGAATTTGGTATTATATAAATTGAATGTACATTGATGATAGCAGATCTACAAAACCACAAAAATGCTTTGTATGATCAAAACATTAGAATATAGTATTGCTAAATGAAATTTTGGAATATGAAAAATTTTTTCAAGTACAAATTTTTAATGTTGAGACTATATTGAGAGCAAGCTAAATACAAATTTTTAATGTTGAGACTATATTGAGAGCAAGCTAAAATAAAAATTTGTAATGAATTCAAATCCATCATGAGCAGATTTGCAGGAATTCAGTCATAGTGTATTGTCCTAGAAGTAGAGGAAATTATTTCAGGAACAACATTTTTCAAAGGGAAGATTTTTCAGAAGGAAAAACTATGAATACGGGAAATATAGAGTATGTCTTAATGTGGTACATAAATATTATATCAAGAATTGATACAGAACCATTTCTATTCTTCGGAAGCAATCCCGTAGATGTAAAGTGATGTTATTCATGTTTGAGTATTGGAGAACTCGACTACGGAGTTTTAGAGTCCTTAAGTACAGTACGGAACTTTTGAGTGGGGAACGTAAAAAGAAGTATTGAATGAGTGAACGCATTAGTATCTAAATTGCAAAATTTCATAATTTTGTGGAACGAACAGGTGTACAATTCGTGCCTTTCACTCATCCTTTGAATTTGAATACGGTTCTCGTGACTACAGAGATAGTCTTGCTTGGTAGTGGGGGAAAACCCCTGTTCACTTACGGCATGCCCCGAATGAATAAAACTATTCTTTAGATCGAATGCATTAATAAATAAAAATGTAAACGCTACTGTATCCTAAAAAGCTAAATGCACAGTACTGTGAGGAGTAGGAGGAGGACTCGGAGTAATATTTAGTTTTTATTGCACACATAAATGCCATTGCGTGATTCTGCTCATAGTACTAGAAAGTACAGCTTCTGGTTTTGTGGCACTGCTGTTACGGTAGTTGAAACCATTTGCCTCGGATTTACAACTCGGAGCAGAAAAATAAGAACGAGTTTAGAAGTTAACGGAATCATTTGACTTCTGTAAGCTGACAGTTTTTATTTGTTTGGCTTGCAGGGAAGACAGGGACGAACATCCTGAACAAAGTACCAGTGCCTGTGATCAGCAACAGGGAGTGCAAGAAGTGGCACGGACTCAAGAACATTCGAGTGGCACTGCACGACGAAATGACGTGTGCTGGTTGGATGGACGGCAAGATGGACGCTTGCTTGGTGAGCAACGCTTCGCCATATATCCGTCATCCTTCTAAGTGCACATGATGATGGATGTTGCCATTTTTGTTCAACAGATTTACGGTGAACGCCGTAATCTGGATTAATGACCAGTCAGATGTCGCATTAGTTACATTTTAAATAAGTTAGAGTAGACGATGGATATAATAACGTATGACCAAGGTCTTTGTCCATTTACATTTCATGTTTTAAAATTTGCTATGATTAAATTTGTGATTCTATAGTTCTACTTTGGAATGACCCACTTATTATAACGCCATACGTTTTGTTTGAAAATCGTTCTCTCAACAGAGGTTATAATCGTTACAAGGAAATTTAGCTTCATAACAAATACTCTCTTTCACAATCCAATCCATGTAAAATAAGCAAGAATGGAGTAATTTTGAGCCTTTCTTTTACTTGTGTTGACTTTCTAGAGGCTGAGGCATTGGTGTTATTAGCTGAGTCTCTGCGGCAGACATGAAAACAGTTTTAGGACAAGTTAATCAATCAAGACCCTCGGAGTTTGAAAGCAATATTTTATTTCCATAAACTGTCGACTGATTAATTTTTAGATATCTCAGAACTTCGCGTAGGAAAACCTTTCTGTATGTGCAAGGAAAGGACAGAAAATGCATGTTGAAGAAATTTATACAGCACTTGTGAGGTTAGTTAGGAATTGTGTGCAGTTCCTTGTCATTTGTATCTCTTCTTGTCCTGTTAAGATCAACTAGCAAGCACAATTAAGATTACTGTGAGGGATATATTGAAATATTGTAGGAGGCCGTCACAGTTTGCTGGTTCCGGAATATAAAACCGGGAAAGAACATTTGTCTAGTTTATAGCTCAATGAGGTAGCACTAGGCGAGGCATAGTTTCATGTTTTTCCTATTCAGATCAAGTGTGATCGAGAATTGTAGATGTTGGAAGGGGATAGCGGGGGCAAGGCTACTCCTGGCTTGACTCTCTGTGAAGGGTTATAGAAGATGAGGCGCGTCACGCCTTAATTTTCACATCCGGCTCATGGTCACTGTGAGGTTAGCAATAATGAGATGAGAGCAAAGTAATTTCGAGGGCTGAACGACTGGTGGAATTGCCCTCAAAAGAATGAGGGCATCCATGAAATTATTTTTTCTTCGTTTATCTCGCTGCTCTTTAAACCAAATTTATTAGAATAATGAAAGAAAGATTCTAGAGGTACATTTGCATCCAGGTTCTTGATTTTCAAAAATATATGAGGAAGCTTCAGGATATGCAAAGGTTTGCGCTCTAAGATAGATAATTTTGTGATCAGTTTACCTTTGTTAACTATGTATGGAATAATTGCTGTCATATCCATGTACAGTATTTTAATGTCACGGAGTTTTCTCTTCCACAGGGAGACTCTGGAAGTCCGTTGATAGTCAACGACAGAGGACGGTGGACACTGATCGGCATCACATCCGCGGGCTTTGGCTGCGCAGTGGACCATCAACCAGGAATTTATCATCGCGTGGCCAAAACAGCCGCGTGGATTTCAGCCATGATTTGGTAACTCAAATTAGTTGCCAGTCTTTTGCTGTTTTTTTTTTCTTACTAAAAGTATACGAAGCAAGAGCTCAAGAGGTGCACAACCTCTTCTCGTGAAATTATTTGTTGCAACTACAATGTCAAGTCAACAAAAAACCAAAAGCATTGCTTCGAAAAGTTACCAATAATTGTTCACTCTTCGCACACCAACATAAAGCATGATTTTAATTGCGACTTGTCTAAGTAGTCTAGTCCATTGTTCTTGTTGCAACTAAAATGTTAATGGTTGAGTGGAAGTCCCTTCTGTATTTATTGACATTCGGACAGATGCAAGTTGCTACTTTCTGGAAGTGTGTGTGCGCGGAGATGATTATGAGAAGGAACTATTTTCTTGCTTGGTATCTTCTAATTTAAAAAATGAAAATTTATTTTAGCTGAGATGTTTTTTTTCCTGTTAAGGACGATTTTCGTCACAATTTTGTTGATTTTTATACCATGAAGCAAAAGAAAGAAGTTATTGTTCGCCAATTTACTTCATTTATTTTTCCTGTTGCACACATGAAGGCATTTTCGGTCACGGATGTTATCAAATGCACAAAGAGCGACGTGTAAATCCTAGATTATGACTAATTTCATGAGATCTTGTATATTTTCGCCGACCTTCACTTTTTTATAATTGTGAGAGGAATTGTTACTATTAATGTTGAAACAATGTCGATCAAATGTGTTTTCTCTCAGAAGCAAATAGAATATGCTCAGTCAAATATTTAATTTCTGATCTCGGTTCGTTGAATTTACGGGGCCTTTCGTCAGTTACATGACAGTTTGCAGGTGAAGTTTTTCATCGCATAGAGCTTGGATTATGAATATTGGCTAGTGAGTAAAAAGAAGCTCACTTTTTACTGGGTGGAATATGGCATATTCCACCCTCCTGCTTCTTTTAGCTCACATACCAGTTTTTCATAATCCGAATTCTATCCCAGAAAAAACTTCACCTGCGAACTGTCATGTAACAGACGGAAGGCCCCGTGAATTCAATGAACCGAGATAAGATATTAAAGTATCAAATATTTAACTAGGCATATTCTAAATGCTTCTGATTGGAACAACTTTTGAACGATTGAAATTACTGTACTAAGGTCAATATTGTAGTATCAATTCCTCTTCAACAGTAAGAATTTAACGTACACGTTTCAACCAATTATGATAATGAATAAAAAACTACAACACGAAAGAAAAACAAATTTCCAGAAAGAATAATGCAAGAGAACCCGCGATACTTTACTTCCAACACTCAAGTCCACAAGACAGTCTTAAATCCTGCTTCTGCTCCAATCGAAATCAAACGGAAAAAAAACGCCTTCCATCAAGATATCGTCCCAAGGGGATTTTCCATCTCACAGCGCATAAGGTGTCATTTGAAACACTGATGTTCAATGAATGGGCGCATTTGTCACGAATTAAACCTGACAACTAGAATGACGAATCTCTATTGACCTAAACTCAGGTTTAAAAAAAGAAGATAAAAGCCCTGGCACAATGCAACGCGTCGATAATATTAATCGCCAGAGGAAAAAGGGAAGGATTTCTTCTACGCGGGAGAGCGCAAAAAATTAAGCATGAGAAATTTCGCTAAAATTAGAAATCGATTCCTTGGTTAAGAATAGGCGGATCACTGTGAGTAACGTAAGGACCTCGCTGGAATGGCTATGAGTAACTTTTCCTCGGTGCGGCATGGAGAGAATATCAAGTAGGCTTTTCTAAGACCAGACTTCCCAAAACAACGCACCCCACACCTTGTGCATCGCACTGCAACGACCCCAAGTTCGAAGAAGCAAGAGCATCTGCATCCTCAACGTGAAGATTCAGAAAAAAACCTTTGAGCAGGATACGATCAGTTTGGTCGTAACCAGGGTAAAAGAAAAGGTCGACTCACAGTGTCAAAGAAAAAGCAGGGAAACTTCCTCCAGACAGAAGTTGGGGTCGACTCAGTGCGTTCCACGCATCGAAGCCGCGGTTTTGAATATCCTTTTATCCAGCCGGTTGTGCCTAATATCAAGTATCAATGAAAGTGCTTAAAAGAGGATTGGTCGTTAATTAACACTGCTTTCGTCATTTTCCTCTTCGCCATCATCCGAATCGGCTTCCTGCAGCCAAGTCAACCACTGGTTCACTTGAAACAGAGCTTGCCCTTTCCCCGGATGCTCGTCACTGATATCCTCCTTCCAATGCATGAATGATTCCTCCTCCACAATCTCCAGGTCGTAAAACATCATGAACCACTTCAGCAGCATTCCTACCACAAAAAAAAGGATATTGCGTCATTTGTAGGATACTCGAAATCCGCTCGAACAAAATCACGTTTGTTCATGCACGTGGAAACCTTTCCGACCGAGTTGCAATCGCAATATCGCACCATATGCACATGCACCAACTTATCCGACGGTAATAAATTATAAGTCAAGGGAAGACTCGAGCTCATTGACCCAGAACTTTTTCTTTAAATTTACAGTTCAACCAAGACAACGCCCGTATTTTTTCCCACTTCAACGCACGATTTCCCTGACTCGATAATTTCGACATTACACAAAGTGCGCACTGATTTCAAAACAATTACTTTATCTCTGACATGCAAGTCCCTCAGACAATTTGACAAGACTTAATCATCAGAGAGAATTGTTTGAAAAACAGCTACTAACACATTGTTAGAGCTGAAATTTCGGTTCGTTATTTGAAAATGAATAATTCCATCAGTATGTTTGTTCGAGAGCTCAGCATTGAATGCAGGTTCATTTCGAATACAGTAATTGAGAGCAATACATATCTTCGATACGAGACATTTAATTGAACTTCAAGTTGATTCACACTTGGCATTCTAAACTAACGTAACGATAAAAAAATTGCTGTCGCAAAATCGGTTCAGATTCGTCTGGTCCAGCCAGTAAATTAGGTCTGCCAAAACCAGATAACCTCGAGCATAACAAAATGAGTTTTCAATTAAAGGCATGATCCACGACTCCGTTATTCTATTTGTCATTGAATAGACGCCAACTGGATCTTCTACACGCGAGCGGATGCACCGTACTACAATCGGTGGCAAAGGAATGAATCGCGGAACGAATTTTTCGTCTAGAAGAGCTGGAATTACGCACGGCTACCAGGACAGGTTAAAATCTGAACGAATTGAGAATACGGCTAAAAACAAAGCCTGTAGAGTCTCAGCAGCTTAATATCTCACGACCCGGTTATTGATTCAAGCGACATCTGCCTGACCCGTTAGAAAGCATGTATATTTGAACCTCGATTACTCAAGCCTCCCAAATTAGATTTTTTTTTCCAAGTACTCGTCTGAATTCTGTTAGAAAAATGAATTAAAAACCTCTAATACTTCAAGGCTTTTTCTCAAACCTTCACAATTCAAATTTTCTGAGGCGTTTCGACTATTATTTTCCCGACAGAGAAATAAAAAAGTAACTTAAGATTTGGAAGCGAGTGAAAGATTAATCCGGAAAATGAACCCTGGCCTCCAAGTTAGGCATCCCGTCAACTCATAAAGAAAGCAATTCAAGGCCCACAATATTAAAAATTACAATTTCCTGAAATTCTTTCATCCTTCCCACAACAAAAATGCTCCTTTCCTAAATTCGATTTTTTTTTGCTGGTCCCTTCAAATTCGACTGCATTGCTATTGGAAGGAAAGAATCGAAAAGAGAAAGTCCGAAGGTGTTCTCTTCGCGTGCTGCAAGAACGACTGCTGGAAAAACCCGGGTTTGACTGACTAACCTTTGGGGAATCCATGGGCATTGCTGACAGACTGCAACGCGTACACAGCAGCCACCTGGAGACGGGTCTTCTCCCCAAGAAACGCCTTGATCACCGGCGCAAACTTGTCCAGCACGTCCTTCTCCTTGGCTTTTACGCTCACTTCGTCGCCCTCAACGGCCGCGACGGCGATTATGTGTCGCACGACGACCGACACAAGCGCAAACACGAACGTCAGCTCCGCGAACAGGCTCTCATCCAGACAGTCCTTAATGTATCGGTAGAAGGATGTGGGCGATGAGTCCGCCTCCAACGCGGCAGTGAGTTGGCGTTGCACGCGTAACAGCGGCATCAAGAAAGATAGTTCCGCGCCGTCCAACACGGATGCGAGCTGTTCCTTGGATTTCGAGCCGACTGGCAGTAGATTTATCAACGGAAACTGCGAGAGAAAACAAAGGTCAACAATTAATGAATGGAGCCGAACGCATTTGACATGAACAGTAAACGCCTAGCAATTACTGTAGCTCTAAGTAAGCGCCCGAAAACGGTTCACACAAAATTGAACACATCAACAAATATACATGGCTCAAAAGTCTTCTGTAAAATTTTTTTATAGAAAAAGTGAAAAATGTACTTTTCTATAAACGGCACTCATGATTTATTCCTTCACAATGAACACAAGTGCTGTATTCAGCATAAGAAATGTTTTAGTTCGAAAATACGCAGCATTATGTTAATAATTACTGATCGGAGAAAGAAAAAGATGGGAGATATTTTTCTTCTTTCTACATAATGGTTAAAACAAAAAATAAATTTCCATTTTCAGCTGATCTGACATGTGATTAGCACCCTGTGACATAGGCAGAGAACTTTGACCATAACTGGGAAGTTTTCACTTATCATCCTGCAGTAAATAAATATTTTTTCTTTTAAATCAAAAAAATCCCAGAAACATACGCAATCATAATTTTTCTAGTCATACCCACTAGAAATAAACTAGAGTTAATATCTAGAAATAAGCAAGGTCGCGCCCAAGTGGAGCAACCTCCGTATGTTACCTGAATCTCGTCAAAATTCATTCAATTGTCAAATTCCAGAGAAAAGGATGGGCGTAGACGTTAACAAAAAGCCGTCAGCTTACATCAAAGTTAGATAGAACAAGGCTGAATCGTGAAGTCACAATCTCATGAACGAAGCAACTAAAAGCCCCAAGTGGGATTACAAGCAGAAGCCTAACGACAATGGAACCACATTCAGGGCATACCTTGGAGGTTTCACAAGTCTCGCGCAACCAATCCTCGGACTTCGCTCCTTTCAAGTTCGTCATGACGTCGATCACCAAAGGCCAGGCCGATCCTCCCTCCAAGGCGTCGAACACCAGAGGCAATGGCAACGCATCCTTCGCAACCAGCTCTGCGATCACCGTACCCAATTTCGCAACATCGTGCGATTTGGCATCCCAATCCAACGTCACGGACTTCAGGCCCTCTTGCAAATGGTTCGCCGAAACGGTTTTCTCTTCAAGCAACCTCATTAAGAACTTCTTCGCCGCTTCGGTTTCGACACCTGAACAAGATTGGCGACATTGTACACGTTGAAGTGAAAAAACACGTCTTTTTAAACTCAAAGCAAAATAAATTCGGGCTAACTCTCCGATCTATACAGTTTTCTCCCCTGAGAGAATGTCTCTTGCTTGGACTCCCAACAGATCCATCAACGATCTATTAGCATTTCCTTCAATGATAAAGCCTCTCTAAAGCGATTATTTCTTGGTCTCCTCATGCATCGTTGTAAAGTTTCCATCAGTGCAACAATAATTTAAGACCAATCATAACCCAACAATCAACGAAATCTCAGATTTTCTTTACAAACTCGCTCAAAGGAGGGTCTCATCCGCGATCTAAACCAAATCTACTGACAAACTATTATGTGAATGAATCATAGGAAAAATAAGATCTACTTTCTTCAGTGCTTCTTTCATGTTTACGCAATCGAATCTATAGCACATTCGCCACAGACGACCAACAGGAGCTACAAGATGATTCTCAAAACGGAAAAGCGATATTGCGCAATTGCCAAATCGTGAAGATGACAAAGCAGTCATTTTATGATATCCCGCGGAACGTAAATTTTTCCCCCACGCGCTGCATCATCGCATTGACTCGACAATTCAGGAATAAAAAAAATGCATGTCACAAATAAGTCAAAACTACCTCACACAAATGAAAATAGAAATAATTTACTGCGGTTCTGTTTGATTCCGAAACTGAACACATCGGAGTTATTGTGAATATGAAAGCAGCGCTTACTTTTCATAGACCGTTTGAGAATTTCGGTCACGACCTCGCCGCCGAATTTTTCCGGGATCGCCACCTCCTTGTAAGCATTGAAGGCTACATCAATGTCGCTCAGCTCGTCCAACAATGATCCAACTTTAGCCAAAATTGCGGCCTTCGACAACCCTTTGTCCTTCTTCCCGGGTTTGGGAGCTGCTTTGATTTCAATCGGTGTCGGTTTCATCGTAACCACTGTAGGAATCTGGTTGGGAGGTTTCGCTCCTCCCACCTCGGGCGGTGGAGACGCAGTGGCACCGGCTCGATTGGAGGAGGTGCCGTACTTCGGCATGAAGCTCGGAGTTTTCGGTTTCAGCATAATGGATTCAGCTGGTGGACGGAGAGAATATTCCTCATCCGGGGACGACCTGTCGGCAGATCCGTCTCCTCCCAAACCGCCACCGTGATGCTGCATCTTCCTCTGAAATCTGGGGGGCACCTGTTGCTTTCCTGAAGCTCCTAAATGAATTGAACAAGCGATGAGCCAACTCAAACAATCAAAATGATACTTCCAGTTTCGAAGCATTCACACAGACAAAATCTGGAATAACGTAACTGGATACCCTCGAAGCAACGGTTTATGATTTCTAATATTTCCCAAGATATTTGAATAATGTATTCCTTACCTCCATAGTTTCCATTCATCGAAGAATTCTGTCCAAAAGACTGTGGCCCACTATTGCCACGTCCTTTCTGGAAATTTCCAAAATTTCCTCCGTCTCGATTACTCATAAATCCACCACCGTCTCGTCCGAACATTCCTGATTTGGATCTTCCCGTATGGAATCCATTGCTGAAAAGAACCGGATTACTCAGAATCAGGATGATGAATTGGTACTTACACCCGTCCTCCAATATTTCAACTGAAATAATCTCACAAGAGGGTAACTAAATCTAATCTAGCCAACTACAGTACAACGAAAAACACATCTCATCAAACCTAAACCAAAAAAGGGGTTAATCCTGATAGAATACAGACATGACTAACCACACCCAACCTAATAATTGTACCAGAGTCTGTCGGGGGAAAAATGACGGCTCAAGATCTCCGGGGGTAGATTCCGAACAAAACAAGACTCATAAAATTAATGTTTTCTCACTTGAAATTAAAGTCAGTATTAATCACGCCAGGCCCAGTGCCAAGTTCTAGTGTGCCTATAGGCAAGGATCCAAAAACGTCATCAAGACCACTCTTGAGCTGTCCGCGCACCATGAGCCCACTCATGTTGCCAAAAATGGTCCCTGAAACTGGTCCAAGCACTCCGCGGCTGACTGGTCCAAGATTACGTCGATCATTGGTCATGAGCACCCCATTGTTTCTGAGGGCTTCTTGGCGTATCTGATCATACAAATTATGTTACTCAGTTTTACATTCAATTGGCCTCACGATGGGGTTGGCTCACCTCTTGGATGGTTTGTGGTCCACGTTCAAAAGCAACTTTCCGTGGAACCCACTTGTTCCTCCTCAGTTCGAAAACGTCCTGAAGTAAGAATCTTATACGAGATGGCAACTGCGTGTTGTTAGACAGCTGGTCCATTCTCTCGAAGTATTGGTCAAAATAACCCTACCGCAGAAGAGTCCACGTCAAGACATGATACAGAAATTGAGAAAGAAGCACCAAGGTGAAAATTGATCATCGAAGAGCACTGAAGACGAATTGTTCAGCTGAATTACAGTAAAACATCAATTCATTTTCTCTGGTTTCGAACTGAATGACTAGATGAAAAAAACTCTACCCACAATATAAACGCTCAAATAATCAACGCACGTTTCCGTAATTCCAGATCGATTGAATACTTATTATTCAAAGGTTTCCTTGCCGTAAGAAGGGCTTGTTTAAACTCACGCACTACAAAATGCTATGAAAAATCTGACTAAATAAACGAATCAGGAGAGAGCGAAATTTGATGCTGAAACATAGGGTGCTCTACATGCTTCTCGTATTTTAAATGTTCACCCCGGTCACTGGCTTGTGCGATCACTGCATCACATTCAAGCATATCTTTGAAGAATTGAATTACATACCTTGGCTGCAGGTGTATCCAACAGCCGGCCACAAGTTCTCATTATCTGACAGAGGCATTCCAAATCTTTTCCGCTGACCACCTCCGTCGAGCTTTCCAATCCTTCCGCACTGCGCTTACCCCGTGATGCTTCGTTAATAGGCGAGGGCCTCTTCTTTCGTAGCAATGTTTCAATGCACATGTGTAATATGCGCTCCTTGACCATCTCAAGCTTTCCCAGCTCGCCGATGAATTTGATGTTTCCCAACATTTTGCGCTTGGCAATCTGTCGTTGCTCCTCTTCATCAGGCGTGAGAGGCCCATGTTTCCGATAGGAACACTTCTCAGTAGCTTTTTCGCGGTTGCGAAATTCTTCTTCACACTGCATAAGCAACAACTTCTCGAAGGTGTTGCATGATGACTTTGGACCTTCGAAATTCGGCGCACGTTCCGACAACAGCTTGCACAGCCGTGCGTACATAGAACTGTATTTCGGTTCATCGAGAGCTTTTTCGAAGATCTGCAAACAAAATATAAATAAATTGATCGGACATGTAAGCAGCTGAAATGATTCTGCCGCTTGAGACTCACCAAAAAGATAACTCCACTCAGGGTTTTCGGGGAATTAAGTCCGATGCTCAGAATATCTTCACTTAGCTTCTCGAATTTTTCAGGGGTGAGCTTGTTGAGATGGCCTCGCACTTTGCGGAAGACCAAATCATCTTGTTCATCAGGGGATAGCGCATCTCGTCTCAAGCTTGAAGGAGGAACCCAACGTTTGCCAACAGCTGTCGTCGATGGGGAACGGGAATCATCCCTAAAATTCATGCAACGTTCATTTCAATTCGAATGACCAACAGATTGTTCGCTATCTTACCTTCCTCCTGAGCAGCGAGAGGCACCCCCCTCGCCTGTCAGGCCTTCCGTTGTGAGAACCAGTGTACCAATAGCGCTTTCTTTATCCAGGTGAGGATGAAAAATCGAAACTCTCTTGGGGAAAATGGTTCAAGCTTTGGGAAACCTACGGAGCATCTAAATTTAAAGGCACTGCACTTGATTTAAAAGGATATCTGTGAAGAAAGAGCACAAATTATTTAAAAATTGGGATACTTCGAAGCACTTCTCGCACGTGAAGACATTCCGCACCGTTACATATAGTTTCACACACCCATCATGAAACTCTCCGACACAATAGATAAGCCAGTGCTTCGAGCTTGCGACATGACCATTCGATCAGCTGCTTTAATGATGTCATGGAATTCAAAATGGCGACGAAACAGGTCTTCCAGGTGGTATTCAAGTTTGATACCGCACAGGACTACAAATGAATATCATGCCGCAACCTCACCTATTTTCCCCAACTGCCTGTTTATGCAAGTACAGTACACATTGAGCAGAGCTCTCAGACAAATTACAGCGAGTCCCCACATAACAGAACTAGCCCATTATTGTATGCATTTCATTATTTCGAATTTTTGTGATGCAAAATTCTGCAAATTCCCAAAGGGTTACTAAGTAAATTATACAAGTTGTTCTATAGCTCAAGGCACTTACCAAAAGACCACAATGAACCTTTAAAACTGTGAACGGTATTCTTCCTATTTTTCAGCATAAAACTGTGAATTTGAGAGTTACTGTATTAGAAATGATGCACAAATAATCCTGACAACTGCTTGATTTTTCCTGCATGCTGCATTTGATAAATTACAAATTAGACAATTAGAAAGGATGTAAAATCATGCTTCTCTTCCTTATCTTGCTCAATTTGTGAAAAATTATGGTAAAACAGTTCAAAACTTCATAACATTTTTAGCATTTCTTGGCCAAAAAATTGTGCCATGTGGTCACATTTTCTCCCTATGTATTTTTGGTATGCGGTTTGTTCTTTGTCATGCTGTGAGTCTTTTGATATGCAGGGAGTCACTTGTATGGAATCGAAACATTCAGGACTTCAGATATCTGTAAAAGAAACAAAAGTAGAGACCCGCATGCAAGGGACTTTATTAAAAACTACACAACCTTTTTGGACATCGTCCATACACAAATCAACATATCAATATCAAATGAAGATAAAGTGGGAACAACGCATCCACTGAATTACACTTCACAATGGAATTGACTTTAAAGTTGACATCAACAGCAATGTAAATTGCGGAACACTTCAAACACAAAATACAGGTACATCTCAAAATATTCAATTCTTTTTCAACAAAGACACATGAAAGTTCATCAAGAATAGTTTTAAAATTCTTCATGTAAAACATGAAAATTAGGTATGGAAAAGTGGAATCCAGAGATTGCTGGGTGTCTCAGAACTGGTAGCTCAAATTTTGCCTACTTATATTCAGAAATGGTAACCTGTTCAACCATTGGTCACTTGAAGTTTGCTGGTAAAATGTTTATTTCTTCATTTCATTTCCCATTTTTCTGCATTCCATCAACAGATGAAAAGCTAGCTTAATACATTGATTTTCATACGGGGAGCACATTGCACTAGTAAAAAACGTTTGAATAAAGTCTATTGTGAGGCTAACACAAATGCGCGCTGAATCAAACGTAATTTTCTTTTCCAAATAAAAGAGGATACATGCTTCTTGCTTAGATTAAAATTGGTTCATGCACTGCAATCTTTCTTTGGGCCCTTATTTGCAAAAAAATGAAATTGAATTAATGATACATGGAGATGATATCTGCAATGTTGAAGTTGTAAAAGGTAATAAAGTAAATCTACTTTAAATTGTTTGCTAGTGCGGCAAGAAGAATGATACTGAAAATGCAAAACAAAATGGCCAATAATGAAATGAAGTATTCTCGTGGTGGCAAAATTCAGCTTTCTTCTCTCATTCCCCATCATGAACCTTGATGAAAACGCAAACATTTTCTCTTGAATTTTTCAACTATAGTATCTCTAAAAGTTTTGAATGCTGTAAAATGAGAATCAATAATAGTCAGGAAACAGTTTCAGAAGGATCTACGCTATTTGAAGTTGCCAAAGATGTTGAGGATTGAAAAAACCTGCACACTGTAATCACAAGACTCCTCCTCATAATTTTTGCCATTCAGATACTTTTCAATCCTGCAATGTATTTCAAGACTATAGAGTATAGACATTCAATTGATATGGTTTCACTCTAGCGCTTCATAAAACAAATACAGTATAAACAGGAACAAGTTATAGAAATATTTCTACAACAAAACGCATCCATCTAACTGAGGCAGGACGTTTTTCCCGCATTCAATATATAGTACCGTATGGGCATGTAAATGTTTACATTGATTAATTCCGAAACAATTTTTTCATGTAATTTTTTTGCTAAAGAAAATTAATATTTAACCAATCATGAGACACCCAAAATCAAACATTAATTTACAGCATTTATTTTTGAACACCATGTAGATTGTAGAAGATGATCTTAGAAAATAAAACTTTCGCATGCATTGCCGATAATACTACCTAGTCTCCACAGGATGGACCAGTATGTTTATAGCAAGGATGAATAAACAGGTAAAATTAAAGATGACATGTTTCATTACTATCGATCATCTATTTTTACAGCTTATCAGCCAATAAAATGATTTTCCTTCGAATAACAGTGGGTACCATAATTGTGTCTGTGGTGCAGTCTCAAATATTTCAAAAATCTCGTTTAGATCACAACGATTTGCGAAACATTTTTTAAAAGGAAAAACAAGCATAAACATTGAACATTGATTGGAAACATTGTGTGCCTTTTTTGTCAGGACTGCCAGTGATGATAAAAGAAGTGATTTTCTTTATATACGAGCAACCTAGTCTTGATTCAACGTCGGATTTTGCCGAAGACAGGCTCTTCTATCATTGCATTAATTCAAGTGAAAACTTTCGTGAAATGCTCTTTTTTAAAAATTAAGATAATAAATTAAATTAGTGATGCTCAACCTCAACATGACCGTGAACGTCCCAGGACTTGATCCCTTTTTCTTCGAATATTTTCAGTGGTCGAAGTTTCTTTCTTCGGAACTAAAAATAAAGTTTTTTGATGAATTTTTCTTTTTTAAACGTAGATCGAAAAATCGACGTTGAAGCGATTGCACCTTCGAGCTTTCCTTACTTCTCCCTCAGCCATTGTTTAAAAACTACTTTTCCATTTGTTAGTTTACTCTGCACACAGATCCATGTCTTGGAGTTTTCTGAAAATTGTACAGTATTCAAGTCTGGTTTTCTGGTTCACATTGGCGGCGTGAGGGGAGGGAAAGAAAAGCAGGTCGCTCGTCCTTTTTGTTTAAATCATTAGAAAATTTTTTTTAAAGTTAGGTAAGGGAAAAGAGGCGTTGGCGTGAAGTCAGAATACTGTATCATGAAGTCGCGATAATCACTCTGAGCACTGGATTCCCCCGATCGAGATCAATGAACCATCGCCATATGCCGCTCGACATTGTGCTTCTGTGTGTACGTCCGATCACAGAGCGGGCATTGGAAGCGGTAGCCAAAATGGCCGCGCACATGTCGCAGGGCGTGCGACCGTCGCCGCGTCCAGTAATTGTTGCAAATGATGCACTGGAAGCCGCGATCCCCGGATTCAGGGTCCAGCTTCACAACGAGCATGGCGGCTTCTTCGCCAGATTTCTTATTGTAGGCCAAGGAAAATGGCCGCCCTCGTCGGCGTTCCTGATGATGATGGGCTGGCAGCTGCGGATGTCTGTCGCTGTCTGCAGTCGCTTGCAGGGCTGCCGTCATTGCGGATGCATCATCAGCAGAGGTGTGCTCTTCCAGCACGACGTCATCATGCTCCTGCAGCTCTACCTTCATCTGTGGAGCAGTCGTCACTTTTGAACACCATCATTCTAGGGAAAATTTGAGCTTTGATTTCTCAAATTGTCACAGGGGAAGGCTTGCGGAGGTAATATGGCGGAGGGAGATTATATGTAAGATGGTTGACTTGTGCAAGCCTGAAACTTTACACCGATAGACCCCAGCTAGATACAGTATCTTTCTCCAGGGCATAGTTCTCTCCATTGCAAATCCCTTATTGTTAAAAAAAAACGCGTCGCACTGAGAAAATAAAGGCACACGTACTATCTACAGTACAGTATTTTGTCCGCGTTGATAGAAGGAAAATAATGCGTTTTCAACGATCACGCTGATGAAGCATTTCAGACCTGACTGTTCGTGATCCTGATTCAGCGTGGAATTTTATTTGAAAAAAAAAAAGACTTTTCAATAAAAGCTGATTTATCCTGCTTTGAGCGTGTCGTGGATCACTCAGAGTAGCAGGACAACTCGGCGAGGAAAATTCGTCGCGTTGACAAGTCGGATTTGCGAGAGAACACATCAAATTCCTGGCGCAGATGAAAAACGCTTTCAAAGAAAAATTTGTCCTCCTTAAAAAATAGCGAACTTCGCGCTTATTATTTACGATCACATGATGTTGACTTGAAAGTGCCCTTCGTGTAGATTTGTCCCTCCCCGCTACAATGAAAGAACGATTCACGAATACTGTATTTCCCTTTCCTATAGAAGTCAAGTGGACGTAATAAAAATAAAGTAAAAGTCCGCCTTCAATTTTGGTTTTTTGAAAAAACGCTATTGCTTCTGCACCGACCAATTACCGAAGGAACATTGGGCATTTGAAATGCCAGGAGCAGCAAGAATTAGTCAATGTATCCTCAAATTTAAAAATGCTGATCACTTTTCCAAACCGAATCAAAAATTTATTTTTGCGAAATATTTGAAACGCGATCCTCAGGGACTCAGGGTAAATACGGTGACACACGAACACTTCAGCAGAGCAATACACTGGAATGGATTTGAAAGTCTATAAATCATGAAGAGTTATTTTGAAAAGAAC